TTGGACCGATTATGTGAGAAATGAAGAAGTGTTAATTAGAGTCAGTGAGCAGAGGAATATCCTACATGAAATAAGAAAACGGAAGGCTAATTGGATTGGTCATGTTTTACGCAGAAACTGCCTTCTAAAAGAAGCTATCGAAGGAAAGATAGATGGGCGGATAGAAATGACAAGAAGAAGAGGAAGAAGACGTAAGAAGATGCTGGATGACCTTGGGGACAGAAGAGGATACTGTCATTTGAAGGAGAAAGCTCTAGATCGCATTAAGTGGAGGAATTGTTTTGGAAGAGACTGTGGACCTGTCGTCTGACAGATTACTGATGACGTTGCAGCTATATGTGAAGTGAATGAGTGATATTCAATACAGTATAACAGTTTTTGCAAATTAAGATACCTGATGATGGCTGGTTGTGGTCAAAACATGTTGTAAAAGGGAAAGTGAAAGGGAAAGAATTAAATAGTTGCATTGTTAATGGAACTGCATTATTAATATTGTGTGTAAAAGTTATAGTAATGCAACACAATGTTTAAATACAATATATTATATAAATCTAGGTCATGGTACTAGTTGCTGCTTTTTTTCATTATTATATATAAAGTCTTCCAATTGCAGGTTCTGAAGACAAGAGTATTATAGTATGGGACACAAAACGAGGGCGTGCCATTTCCTGTCTTCAGCTACATATTCCAATCCTCAATTTGGAAATGTCAACAGATGCCTCACGTATTGCTGTGCACCTCCTGGAAAACCGCTGCCTGCCCATTGTCTGTCTTCACAATACTCCTGCTACCTATGTCAAAATGCCCACCTATGTAGCCCCTGCTAAGGAAATAGAAGGTAAGTGTGATGGATTGTCAACTACATATGTGTCATCATGAGTGGTAATCTATGGACCTTGCTTGCTTAATTGCATGCTGGATTACACATTATAGTTATACATCAAAGTATTTTGGGATGAAAATGACTAGCACAGCATTGTGTCAGATGGGCTGGAGCCTGATAATAAAATTTTTGCAAAAATGTGTAGTTACTGGAGGAAAGGATTTTTATGGTGACTGCATCTTAAGGTTCCTAAATGCCAGATTAAACATGTGGCTCATGTCCTGGAACATTTGTAAGCTGCCATTCATACATTTCTATCATAGCTGGAAAAATTATAATTTTAAAACAAACAGCTTTTTCCGTTTATGATGTCCATTTAGCAACCAAATAGTTTGTGTTGTACATGCCATTTATGCACAGCCTCTCAGTAAAAAGAAAATAATGATGGTTTTCCTTTCTGTTGTATACCAACAGAGAATTTCTGATAACTTAAATTATTTCAAATGACTGCGGATATTTTTAATTCCGAATCTACACTGTGAGTGATTATAATGTCTCTCCAATTTTAATACTTTATACAGACATTAATTTTTATATTGTCTGTATGTATAACATGGCCGATCACAGCAGCCATGTGGTCAAAGGCAAGAACTGTCTTAAGCTGCTCGAACACTGGGATCGCCGGTTCGAATCCTACTTGAGGCATGGATGTCTGTGTGCGTTTATTCTGTGTTTGTGTTGTTCTGTGTGTAGGTACTGGCCTTGTGATGGGCTGATCCCCCGTCCAAGGAGTCCTACTGACTGTGTATAAAATTTAGAACCTGAAAAAGCGGCCACATTGAGCCATAGATGGATAGACAAACAGACAGACAGAAGGGTAGATGGATGGATAGACAGACAGATGGTCAGTATGTTTGTATGTCATTAGAAGCACATCAGAATCAGTGGCTAATTGAAAATTTATAATATAACTAAACATGCTTAGACATGAATAATAATCACACTTTAGATTATTATTTTTTCCATACAGTGAAATACTACTTCACAAAACCATGAATTAAAAGTGACTGAACCATCAGTGTGGGATTTCACATTCCTGAATAGTCATGTGCATAAAACAGTCATGAAACTTATACAGTATAATTTCAAATGCACATCATGACTGAGTAGTAAGATTTTCAGATTTGTATTTGAAGAGTCCTGGGTTTGAGTCCAGGTCCAAAGGCCCAATATTCGGCCCACTGTCCCTCCCTACTTCATCTCTCCAGGCCAATTTCTTAACACATGTCTGGGCCACTTCCTTCCACATTCTTGCAATTCATCTTTCATTGTGCCTCTCTAATTTAATGCTATATAACCAATATAGTGAAAAAAATGTTACTATATCTGTTAACCTTTAAATGCCGGACTTTTGAAATGATGGTAAGCTGGAGCTGGCCGGCGTTTATTTAAATGTCCACTGCTGGTGAGCGTTTAAATGCCCGTTGCTACTCTTATTTTAAATGTCCGTTCCTTGACAAATTTTAGCAGTCCCTGGTGTCATAAAACAGATGGAAGCAATAAAATCATTTGGTTCTCTGCTGGAAAACCTTACATATTTGTTATACCCTTCAGATTTTCGAATCTTTTGACTAAATGTCAGAAGAATGAAAGCATGGCTATTCAAGAAAAAGCTAGAGGGAACAATTCAACAGTCCCCTCTTCAGTGCTAAGACCTTCCGTATAGCTGCAAGAGATTATTGCCCTTTCTATGGTCGTGAACAGTTGCATGGTGGCTGAGATACAGAGTGTGATCTGTTTTCTGTGCGTTCATAGTGAAATCGAATACTGTAGTTTCATTTCAACCTATATACGAGGGTTGGAACTTTAATAGTGGCAACACTGCTGTAGAGACGCCATGCAATGGAGCTAAATAATGTCGCTTATACCACACGGTACATACCTACCTTTCCTCAGAGCAAATGGACTCTCACTTCCCACATCACGCGCATGCGCAGTGACGAGAAGAACAGAGCCTCGTGTTAACTTGCGGTCTAATGTAGTGTTGTCACGATGTTTTCGAAACAGGAACAACGGAGTTGGATAAAGATTGAATGTGCCAGAGGCCGTACAGCAAGACAGTGTCATCAAGGTCTTCAAGAGGCTTGCGGGGAACCTGCATTGCCTTACAGAACAGTGGAAAGGTGGGTAAAAGCCTTCAACGAGGGACGCCAAAATGCGGCAGACATGCATCGGACAGGTCATCCTAGTGTCAGTGAAGAAGAAGTGTATGCTCTTTCCGCGTTACTGGAGAGTGATCGACGCCATACGATTCGTGAGCTGGCCCGAGAGACAGGATTAGTGCATACGACTGTGCTTCACATTCTGAAGGAACGCCTGGGCATGAGAAAAATTTCATCACGATGGGTTCCGCGTGATTTGACGTAAATGCAGAAATGGCTACGATACGATGCTGCTCGTAACCACTTGGAGCGCTATGATCACGAAGAAGAGGCTTTCTTACACCGCGTCATTATGCTGGATGAGACATGGGCCAAATCATACAAGCCACATATGGAACGCCAAACGAACGAATAGCATCATTACGGGTCACCACGAAAATCAAAAGTTCGTCAGTACCCCAGCAATGTGAAAGTTATGGTGATTCTCTTGTACGACTGTGATGGTGTTATCCTAACGCATACCGTTCCTGACAGCAGATCGTCAATGCGCAGTATTACTGTTCATTTTTGGAACACAGCTTGCGACCAGCTTTGAGAAAGAAACGGTGACACTTTCTGCAGAACCGACCCATCATTTTGCAGGATAATGCTCGGCCGCATGCAGCGCAAGCTGTGGCTGATTTGTTCGATCGATGGGGCTGGGAAGTTCTGTCCCATCCACCATACTTGCCGGACTTAAGCCCTTGTGACTTCGACTTGATTCCTAAGATAAAGGAACCACTTCATGGAATTCGCTTCAGAAATGTTCCAGAGATTGTTCAGGCAGTGGACCGCTCCATTTGAATTATCAACACAACAGGCGCTGCTAAAGGTATTTTACGACTTCCACATCGCTGGCAACGGGTTGTACACAATGCTGGTGACTCCATTGAAGGACAGTAAAACTTCGAAACATGCATCGATTTTGTATCAGTTATAAATAAATAGTCGCCACTGTTAAAGTTCCAACCCTCATACATCAAGCAGATAACAAAAAAAAAAAGTATGTATATCGAATTTCACTGTATATTTTTAACACATTAATCTGCAGAGTCTGCAGTAAAAGTATTGACTCGTGGATGAGTTTGGGCATAACTAATACATATGCCCATATTTTCTGTTGTTCACTTAGGTATCATTTTAATTCCTCTATTATGGTTTTACTCAAGTCTCTCTGGTAATTACTACATTTAAAAATAAATATTAAGGACTGTGCATGCACTTCTACTAGTGGCATGTGTGCACGCTTCCACTAGCGGTGTTTAATTGCCCGACTGGCCAAAACGGGGTACCTTGGCCATGTCGACCATACTCATCACTGGCCTGATCGGGGCACTTCGGACGTTAAAGGTTAAGAAAGTAACTAAAACCTCCATTAAGTAATGTATAATATTTCTTGTTTCAGGCGGTTTGCAAGGTGTTATAAATTTTCCCATTATTACTGAATCATTTATTTTCACAACATTCAGTCTACTCACAATAAACTTTATGTTAATAAGTTTATTTTCTCCCCACCAGTCTAGTAAATGGGATCCACATTTCCCATTTTTAAATTGCAGACGTTGTTTGAGGAAACTTATGTCTAGTTAGTTAGTTATTAGTTATTTATTTAGAGAGGGTGGGTTTCCCCATGCACCGCGACCAGTTTGATCTATTGTGCTTCCCTCTATGATATTCTACCAGTCTCTTTACCCTACCGATAAATGGTGCGTACCATCAGTCCCGCCGAGCAAGCGAGTTCGGCAACTTGCTTAACAGTGTCTATAATGCTTCCCCCATCTATCAGAGGCCTTAGAGGCTATTGTTGGGCGGGAAAGGTCCTGTAATTTAGCTCAGTGATCCCCTTTGGGGATATGAGGTTCTTTTACATGCCGTAAAGTTACGACACGGGACACACAGCTTAAAGTCCCTCCCGGAGGACTTGTTCCCTGAATTTTTCCGCCCTTAAAAACTCGACGACCTCCGCCGGGTATTTGAACCCGCGTACCACGATTCATGAGGTGGGAACGTTACCTCTAGACTACAGAGGTCGCTAAACTTATGTCTAACTACAATAATTATGGCTTCAAAATTATTAAAATAGGAAGGAGTTTGTCTCTCTTCATATATTTCATGTAATGAATCTTTTTGTTTCTGTAATTCTCAATTCTTGTTAGTGCTGTCATATACTTAGTTCATACAAGATACCTTGCTCTCTTTTTGAATATTTCTATATATATTTCAGGCTGCAACATATGGATTTTTTCATTCAGTTGTGAATCTGAATTTGTCTTGTCCATTGGGTTTTCTTACTGTGGAACAAATTTGGGAGAGGAATTCTTATATTTGTGTTTTTCTGAACTTTCTTTTCAGGGAATGTTATTCTGTATATATATATACATTTGACCTTCATATTAATTTGTGTTGGTTTAACTTAGGAAAATATATCAAAACAAGACTAAACAAACTCTCACTGTCACAATCAGACTTCGTGAATTATTATTAAATGTGTAGAAATATATTTAGTGCAAAATACCTCGGCAAACTTGAACTTACTTTCACTGCACTGGAATAAGATACTGACTTATATTAATTTTTCATAGACCAGATTTTTCTTCTAATCTCATATATATGCATTTAACTTTCTCAGATCTCAGACCATCTGTCCCAAAAAGACCAATGAAACGCTTGCTGAAAAAGGAGGTTTCCTTGGATACATATACATGGCAGAAAAAGTATGGTCACTTGACATCGTCAATCATGATGGCTGCTGTGGATGAACGCCTCAAACGGAGGTTTTCTGTCTCAGCAAGCATGGAAGAGATCTCGAAAATACCAACAAAAGGCAACATGGGCTCACAGGTATTGTTGATTGGCTTCTGAGTTGAAATGGTACTTCTGATTTGTTGGTGATACTTTAGGATTCGCAATGGATGTTTGAGAAATAGCATGAAATGCACTTATGAATGAGATTATTCAAATGGTTAAGAAAGTCTCAGTTGGATTGCTTATTGCCATGATAAGTTTCTATGGTTTGCCTCTGTCTGTCCAAGATAATACTCCAAAATATGTATCACCTTCAATTTCCAAATCTTGATGTATTCAAAAGTCCTGTGTAACTTTCCAGCTTATTGGACATAATAAAATGCCTGCATTTCAAAATGTCCTTCAGTACCTTAAGAACAAATGACTTTTAACTTGGATGGATTACTGGCTATCCTACTGAGCTTTGTTGTGGTTTTCTTCAGACTCTCAAGGCAAATGCAAGATACGATCTTCAAATGAAAGTCTTCCAGGTCAGATCCAGTATGAGTTGAACATTAAATTTACATGTTAACAAATGATGAGAACACAGGAGCAGTGCCAACTACCAAAATATTCTTCATATTATATATATCTCATCACATGAATAATAATTAACACAAATTGCCGTTCAAAGAAGGAAAAGTGATGTAACTGCCTACTTCTAGATGTGATCTACAACCAACTTGTCGGAAGAGAAAAACATAATTACTGTGTTTATTTATAATCCCAAGTTAGGTAGTTTGCAACTGATGTCTTTTTGGAAAAGACTCCAGAATTTAGAGATGTATTTATTGCATGTCATTTTAATTGTATTTTAGGGGATTGGACCAGAGCAGGCAGCATTGGCTCAGTCACAACACTTTGATCAGCTGGAGGCATTGTGGAATAAACGTTCTCCTCCACGTCGGCGTCACAATCAGGTGGGCTTAACTTTAATCACAGTAAAACCCATACAGATCAATGACAAAAAGGTAATATTACCCCAGTGCTGACTTAATTCATGTGAGTGTCCATTGTTTATCTTCCATCAAAACTGCAACACTTTTAAATTCTGCACTTCAACACTACATGTTTCGGCCTCAAACGGACATCCTCATGTGATTTTACTAAAGAAGACCACAGCATGTAATTTTAACATGAATTAAAAGAGTGTAGCAGTCTATAACACAGTTTTAGTAAAATAAAAACACCTAAAGATGGCCGTTTGAGACCAAAACATGTAGTGTTGAAGTGTAGAATGTAAAAAAGTGTTGCAATTTTGACGGAAGATAAACAATGGATGGTAATTTGAACAATTGCAACGGGATGCTGAAATAGAGAATCATTAATTCATGTGGCTTGCATAGGGTCCTTTGGTCGGCTCTTGTGAACATTATAATGACCACTGCTTTTTTTTCTCTCTCTCTAAAAATATGTTTTCTAGTATTTATGTCTGTGACTGTAGTGTGTTTTCCCGTGCTTTCACACTCAGTTTTAACACAAAGATCGAAACATAAAAGTGAACCTCTAGATGTATGACTTCTAAACATTGCCAAGTTTGCTGGTGTGCAGCAATTATTTTCCATTATATGTACTGGCTGAAAAAAAGAATGGTCCTGATAATTAACTTGCAGATTCCATAAAGGATGAGGGTTTCTTGACTGGCTGAGCTATAGCTAGCGTCTCAAGAACTCTTCTTCATGGAATTGGTTATCTTGTGCTAAACATTGATCCTTCTGTCCCCTTCTTCATGATATGTAGAGGAAGTATACATTCCACTCATTCTAGATCTTGGCACTGGAGACGAGTGGTAACCTTTGTATCTCACTGCTTTACTTTTAGGAAAGTAGACCTCAAGAGACCTGGGTGGTTCCCAGAGCTGATCTAGACATGGTGGTGAAAAAAAATCATTCTACAGAAATACGAGTGTCGTACTGAAAGTCATGAGCAACAATTTTTTGTAAAGTAACATGCTTTATTATTGGCAAACCAAACACACCACCTCAATCTACAGACCTTTCTTTATTTTTCCACATAATCACCACTTCTTTGTACACATTTCTCCCAGCGTTCTGGGAGTTTGAAAATTCTCCTTCTGTAAAATTTCGTTCCAGCCATCCGAAGACACTAACATGCTGCTTTCTGAATTGCCTCCCTTGTCTCAAAACGTTGTCCATGCAGCTGATCCTTCGCAAATCCAAAAAGATGGTAGTCGGAGGGTGCCAGATCAGGGCCATAGAAGGGATGTGGAAGAACTTCCCACCCCATCTTTGCAATTGCTTCCAATGGTTGGTGAGCGGCATGGGGTTGAGCGTTGTTATGCAGGATGATGATGTTTCGTCCCCGACGTTTATCGCGCAATGCACGATGGAGCATGTACAGCCTCTGGGCATAACGAGCAGCATTGATGGTTCGCCCAGGTTCCAGGAATTAAGCCAGAATAAACCCCTCTGCATGCCAGAAGACTGTGCCCATCACCTTCACAGCTGATGGCACTGTCTTTGCCTTCTTGTTTGATGGAGAATGCAAATGGTGACATTCCATACTCTGCCGTTTCGTTTCAGGCTCGAAATGGTGAAACCAGCTTTCATCACCTGTCACAATACAGAGCAAAAAATCATCGCTTTCGTGTCAATATCTCTGCAGCAGTTCTGAGGTGATGGAATTTCGCTGACCTTTGTGGTCTTTGGTCAATAATCGCGGGACCCAAGGAGCACAAACTTTCCTATAGCCCAAGCTTTCAATCATCTCCTGTACTGCACTGTGCCCTATTCCAAGTTTTCAGACTATTGTGTCCACAGTCACACGCCTGTCATCTTGAATGATCTCATCCACTCTTTCCTTGTTGTGTTCAGTTGAGGCTGTTTGAGGACGACCACTCTGAGGCTCATCTTCGATGCTGATGTTCCCATCTTTAAAATGTTTCACTCATCTTTGAACACTGCTTGCACCCATGCACACGCTGAAGTCTCTGGTGAATTTCTGCAGCAGGGATTTCCTCTTTCACAAGAAATTCGATGACAGCACGCTGGCGAAATGACATATGGTTGTTGGCCATTTTGTTAGGAGTGATACCAGTCATGTGATGCAAGCTATTGACGTTACAAGACACTCAAGGTTAACACAACAGCTGGTTCCACCTACCACCATACTCTCATCTGCTGTTCCCAGGTTGCATGAAAAAAAGTTGCTCATGACTTTTGGTATGACCTACGTATAATGCTAAGGTGTCTCAGCAAAAGGTGGAGTCACTCCTGAGCATAAGCATATTGTCAAGAAGCCATGTATAAGGCACTGAGGTGAACCTAGACCTTGATGCTAGGTGGAGATGAATGATCATTTTCATCCAGAGTGAAGAACCTGCTGTATCCATTGGACTGAAGCTCTGTGGGTGTCAGAGGTTGTGTGAATATTATGACAGAATAATTTCTTCCCCTGCTGGAAGTTAAATTGGCCATTCAGTTCACAGTTACTTTACTAGCAGATTTCCTGAACACCAAATGAATTACATATTTGCATAGTCAAATTCCTGACACCAGAGAAGATAGATTGAAAACATTCATAGACCTGCTGAATCAGCTGTTGCCTCTCTGATTAAGCACATGTGCTTTGTTGTTCACATTTCATACATCCATGTTTTCTTATTTTGGAATATATCTTCAACATACTGGCACCCAATTTTTTTCATGGATGTGCATGCATATTTCTATATTTTAACCTATTTGCTTTATCCATTTTGACATGATAGATCACTGTTTTGATGACAATAGTGTTGACATATTTGCTCAAAACAAGAACTGTGGTGCCAGAGATACATACATTGCTAGTGAACAGCTCTGAAACAACATTTGTTTCTAGGCAACTGCCACAAAACAAAAGAGATAAACAGCCATTGCTAGGCAGCCACCAGTGCGCCAATGAACTGGCAGAGTACCAATCATGTGAGAACCCCAACAGACATGAACACAACAATTGTACAGCAACAGAAGAATGGTGTTTCTATGTGGTTCATGCCAAGATGTTTTGTGGAAGCCAGTCAGTTTCAAAAGTGTGAAGAGAAGACTAGAAGTTTGGTGTGAAATAGCCGCCAGCCTGGGAGTTAGCCAGTTGTAACAGAGTTCAGTTGGAAAGAAATCTGTGAAGAGCAAACTTGGTCAGTACAGTTGAAGAATCTCCACTGTTAGAAGATCTGTTACCAGGAAACGACTAGTGGAAAATGTAACAGACTGAGGACGCTAGTCTGTGTGCACTAGTGATTTGTGAAGTGTGGAGATTAGTGATGGCGCTATAATTAAGTGTAGTTACGAGTTGTATGTTAAAATGGTCAGTAAATCCAATTTCCAATCAAAAACCCTGTTAAGAGTCACCATAACACATGACAATATAACTGGTAATATGCGCCAACCAAATACAGCACAGAGCACAGTTAGTTAGTCTGCTCCTATGTGTTACATCAGATCTGTCTATTTTCACCATAAACTTGAGATGGGGTATCTGCTCTTACATGAAGAAATGTAAATACATAGTCACATGCAAAATTTATTGTGGAGACATTATCCCTTGCATATAAGCTGAAGCTCTTGAGACAGCTACAGCTTCAGTTCCACTACCAGTTTTATTTATACTCTTCTTGCGATATTTATTTTTAATATAGAGTAAACTCCCAGTTATGTGGTATCCAAGCATCTGGAATTCTCATCCAACTGGCAAAAACTTTAAAGGAAATTTAACCTTTTCATCAAGTTATTTAACAACAAATTTGTGATGTGCATGTATTTGCACACCACACAGTAATTCTCCCACTCACCAATAATAGCCCTGGTAATTGTTCTTCATGTAGCCATTATGGTAGAAGCTAGATGAATTTGTGATTGTGTCATAATATCGCAAATCTTTCAACAGTTAATCTGCTTTGCTGCCTAGGAAGATTCCTATAAGTAAGTAAGTAAGTAAGTAAAAACAGTAAAGCTATCCCTGTAACAGGCCGTGAAGGGCCATAGGGTTGTGAGACGTTGAGGGTCCCACATTATCTAGATAATTGGCTCAAAGATGGTGTGGCTGCGCTTTACTCCCCAGGAAAATTATTTAATTAATTCCTGGTACTCATTTCTGTTAGAGGCTGAGTCGACCCCATGGCCAAAGTACGGCCAGAAGGATTAGGTCAATTGAAAAATATCCAATGACCTCATCGGGGCTTGAACCCATGACCTTCCAGTTTGTAGCATAGTGTCTCAACCAACTACGCTACTGCGTGCCCCCAGGAAGATTCCTATGCAAATAATAAAGCGAAAATATTGTCATATGAATGGGTTTGGACTGGAGATTGCATTTATTGACCACTTTAACACACAACTTGTGACTACACTTAATTATAGCACCATCACTGATCTCCACATTTTACAAATCACTGCAGCATATGGTAAGTCTTTTCAGTCTGCTCTGTCTTCACCAGTAGTTTCCTGGTAACGGCTTCTAACAGTGGAGATTCTTCAGCTTCTGTACTCACTTCATTACTAACTACACCAACGAAGTCTCCTTTTCACAGGTTCCCTTACAACTCTCTATACTCTTGCTCAAATTGTCCTTATAACATCTCGGCATGGACAGTGTAGAAGACGCTGTTCATTGTTGTACAACACTCATTTCCATGAGAACATGTTTGGTTGCAAAGACGTTACTCAGTGGCAGCTAGGAATCTGTTATCCAGCAGTGGATGTTGTTTTGTTGTTTGTTTTGAGGTTGTTACCTAGTAACAGATCTACATTGCTACAATACGTTATTGTGGCTTTCTGTTGAGTGTCTGTAAAAGATCTAGTCATGCAACCAGCAGATTCTTGTAACTAGCACAGCCCATCTCCCACACATGCCAGATAATATGCAGTTTACTGTAGTTATATGCATTCAAATTTATTTATTTATTTATTTACTTCATATCCTTGGATCATTATACATGATATAAGACAAGTCAAATACTTTACAATACAATAAATAAGAATAATAATAGTATAGTGATATAATAATATAATAATATACTAAGATAATAATAAAATGATTCTAATAATAGAACTGATATAATCATTTAACACATGACACCGCTGTATGCCTCCTTCTATCCCAGAACAAATGCCCTGGTATCCTCGATCTCATTCCTATAAGAAAAAATTCAGAACAGGGCAGTAGGCATTCCTATAACATGTACTAAGAGAAAGTCGTCTATACTATAGAAACAATGATCAAGTAGGAGTGTTTTCAAAAAGTCTTTTTAAACTTGTATAGTACTGGTATCTCTTCAATATACTGTGGCAACTGATTTAACATATGAAGTCCACTATTATTGAAATTGTTTTTGTATAGACTCATATTACATGGCACTATGAACAAGTCATCTGTTCTCCTTGTATTGTGCGAGTGTATTCCTGAATTGGTTACGTAAACATTCGAATTGGTTTTTATGTAAACTAGAATTTCATATATATACAGACATGATAAAATATTTAAAATGTTGTTTACAACTAATAGTTTTCGGGATTTGTATCATAGCTCTAATAGCTCTCTTCTGCAACCTAAAAATCAATTTTGCATTTCCTGAATTGCCCAAAAATATCAATCCATATAATAACAAGGATTGGAAGTAAGCATAATATATTTTTTTATTGCTAGTGGGGTGGGGCTAAGTCCCTTGTACTGTGGCCACTTCTGGCCTATTGTACCAGCCCCAGATAGGTGAGGGTGATTGTGGAGCAATTGGTGGAATGAAGGAAAAAAAAAAGCGTAATATAAGGTGCAAACAGTCTCTAACCCTGATACTCTTTTGACTACTTGTAAGTCAAAATACTTTTTACATAATTTATTTGCTAATTGTTGAGTATGTGCAGACCACCTTAGATTCTTATCCAGCCAAAGTCCCAAAAATTTTGTATGTCTGCATAATTATGCATCATCAATTATAATTGATGACTGTATCCTGTATCATAGAGCTTTACTGATGGGCATTCAACTTGCACGTTTTGAGGTTGATGAAAGGATATTGCTATTGTTTTTTCTTTATTAATAATTAATCTATTCCTTTCAAACCACTCTGTCAGTGCATTTATTGTTTAATTTATTTTTCTTTGAACATCATTAGCACTGTTTCCTGCTCTAAGGATACTAGTATTGTCAGCAAAAAAGTTGGTCTTCCAGGTTCAATGCCGGCTTCTAGATCATTGATATATAGCAAAAACAACACTGGTCCGAGAACAGAACTTTGTGGGACTCCATGTCTTATGGGTCTCTTTCATGATAGATAGCTAGTGATTTCATTAGTTTCTTTACATCTGTATGTAATTTCCACTTTTTGTTCCCTGTTTTCTACATATGATTGAAACCATTTTAGTGCAACCCCTCTTGTTCCCATTCTTGTCATCTTCCTTAACAATATATCATGATCAACTAAGTCAAATGCCTTTGACAGATCCAGAAATATCCCTATACTTGAAGAAAGCCTTAAATCTTACATCCCTATACTTATTTCCCTCTCATCCAGTGATTTGTAGACCCTTTCTATAAACTCTGCAGTTGCAGTATTTATTGATTTCCCTTTACAGAAACCATGCTGTTTATTGTTAATTATGCTGTGATTAGTCAAAAATGGTAAAAGTATTTTATGTATGATTTTTTCAATTATTTTTTAAAGAATAGAAATTAGTGAAACTGGCCTGTAATTCCCAACTTCTAACTTCTGTATCACATCCTTTCTTATATAAAGGTTTCACTTTTGCAATTTTTAGTTGATCTGGAAAATGTTCAGTTGAGAGTGAGAGATTTATTATACATGTCGAGGCAGTTGTTATTTAATTTATAATTCTTTGTATCCAGGTCCTTGTCCGCTTGTATGCTGTATAGAACCAGCATTACACATTCTCTCACAACCCATACTTTGTATCACTACAATGATGAGAAAACTATCAACTGTTCATTGTGTTTTGTCACATGCTCTACTGACTATATGAGAAAGTCAGACAATTTTTAGAGAGTTGTTAACATTGGTGAATAAGGAAATGATGACCAAAGAGAAGAATATATTACAAAAGCAAATTTAAAATTTTTATCTGAATAAGTAAACTATGAATTGCCCTTGATACCTCCCTACAAAAGAAACTCAAGTACATCATAGACCTGTATGTAAAAACAGAAGTGGAAAATCTAACATTATATAGATTGCACTGCTGGAAATCAAGTATGATTTCTCACTCTATTCTTATCATTAGATGCAGTACAGTTAATTATTTTTGTATATATCTGTGCAGTCACTGTCTAAGCAGAACTCACGGACAAGTCGTCGTGATTCTTCAGACACAGGAGATGATCGCACCCCAGGAGAGGAGATTGTAGGTGTGTGCAATGGACAGCGAATGGCAGTGTCAAACCTGGCCAGAGACCCAAGACTTACACAATCATGCATCACACAGTGACACACACTGCTGTGTTTTGCATGTGATTTGTTCCTACTAGTCTTAAGGGCTGATATGTTACTAGTTTATATCTGATTTATCTTTCTTTGCAAGAAGAAAAGGCAATTGACCAAGTGTTGAATTGAAAAGAATGATGTTCCTATTTTTATATATTTTTAGAGTATTGTTTTGTGTTGGCTGCATAATGTGGATGTCATATATCTCCAACCATCCACATATATGATCTCTGAAACAGTTCAGTGGAGTCAGATGAAATTTGCTGTTGGAGGGTCTTCATTAAAAGATTCCAAGCAGATTTCATTTTTCATTCTATTGTCCAAGACTAATCCACCCATAACTTAAGTTCAAACCATACCTGCCTTGGGACTGGTGATCATGACAGGTTTTTTGTTTTTCCTCAGGATCTTCAGCCTGTTCCTACTATTGTAACTTGAAGACTACATTTCCATAACTCTCCTATTCACTTGACCTCTCACCTCCTGAAATTTTTTTATTCCCTCAACTCAAAATTATCCTTAAAGGAAGATTTCAGACATTGGATGACATCATCACTAATGCAATGAATGACTTGGAAACAACACCACAAACATCCTTCAAACAGTACTTCAAAAATTGGAAAAGGTGGTGGGAGTGGTGCATTGCTGTGAAAGGGGACTGTTTTGAAGGAGATAATATTTAATAAGCCATAAGTAGCGAAAGATATTATTTATAGATGAATTTTGGGAAATTTTTGACCAAACTTTGTACTGTAAATTAAACAAAATGAGAAGCAAAAATATGTCATGATTATGTTTATCTCAAGAGTTTTATGACTTGGCCTGTGTTTCCCTAACTGCAGCAGTTATAAGGTTTTAGCAAGTGTGATGAACCACTGTGCATATAAGATTACAGGGATCATATATGAATGGATGAATGAATGAAATCTGTATTGTATTGTGATATTTATCAGTCCCCTGACGCCATGTAATCGTAGGTTATGAGTGGACCCCTTATAGAAAGTACAGTATCATACAAAATTAACTTACTATATATACGATGGGGTACCCAAAAGAAACTGAACTAATTTTTTTGTGTTGGCAGAGCTTTTGTAGTACCGCGTTTTGCCACTATGAGCACATAGAGCTAACATTCCTGAGTCGATAAGCCAACTACCATTGCTTCAGAAAGTAATGACTAGTTTCAGCAGAGTTTATAGTGACAACTGTTTTGTGTGATCGTCGTTTTTGCAATGGCTGATTTTCGTGAACAGCGTGCGGAAGTGAAATTCTGCTTTTTGCTCGGGAAAAGTTGAACAGAAACTCTTGAAATGTTAAAAAATGGCGTACAAGGACGATGCTATGGGGAAAACTCAAGTGTTTGAGTGGTTTCCCCGTTTCAAAAATGGTGAAATGTCAATTGATGACAAACCTCGTTCTGGTCGTCCTTCCACGGCCCGAACACATGAAAACGTTGAAAAAATTCGTGAAATCATCAAGGAAGATCAACGCTGGACCATTGAAGAAATTGTGGAGCTGTCGGGAGTGACTTGGAGCTCAGCGGCCAGATTTGTGACAGTTGGGTGACTGGTATTTCAATCATGACAATGCCCCTGCCCACGCAGTCCTGTCTGTATGACAATTCTTGACCAAAAATGGTATGACCTCTGTTCCTCACCCGACCTTGCCCCGTGCGACTTTTTTTTGTTTCCTGGAATGAAAAGAGACATGAAAGGAAAAAACGACCGAGGCGCTGTCAAGCATCTCAGAAGATGAATTTAGACAATGTTTTGAAAAATGGAATAAAAGACTAGACAAGTGTATTAGTGTAAGTGGAAAGTACTTTGAAGGGGATTGAAGGTTTGTGCTTAAAATTTGAATAAATAAGTTTAAAAAAAAAATAAGTTCGGTTTCTTTTGGGTACCCCCTCGTATATTCACTTAATGTTATATTTTAGCGTCCTGTTGCACTGATTTATGTCCATAATTTATTCTGACCTCTTACAGTGCATACATTTATTCACCTCACTCTTCTCTCTTGCACCATGTTTCAGCACTAAAGTGCCATCTTCAGGTGCTCATCTATGTACGTCGAACTACTTCATTGCATGCCCTGTTGTCTTTATACTAAAATAACCAAAATATATATTCGTCATATATAATGATAAATCTTAAATATTAAAACTGTTCAGGATTTGTCATCCTTATGTAGTATCTCAATACACGAATCACACCTGTCTTCTTCCATCAGAGTATTCTTCCTATTTTCATGTGTGGATTGTGCTTTGTGTTGTGTCTTGCTCCTGTGACTGCGTGTGTTATACTGCTGGGCCTGCTGGGAATTATGGACAATTCATACCAAATTTCTTCTAGTTTGAACATTTGAAAAGAAAATTACACTGATGTGTTCCTATAAGTGCTTCCAAAAGAAATTTAGTGCAAGAGAGAAGAGTAAGGTGAATAAATATATGCACTGTAAGATGGTCAGAATAAATTATGGACATATTCACTTATATTTCTTCCGACTTATCTGTGAATAGAAGATCCATTCTCTTGACACGCCTTTCTCACTTCTCTCTAACTCTCATCTAGCAAGCAATCAGAGTTATAATAATGATTCTCTTACTACTGTTCACAGTTTTCTTCAAAACAATTTCTTTATGAAGGCTCCTTCATATCCAGGTTTTGACACATCTCAAAATTTGGATTGTGTTTGTAGCTAGTACATGATCAGCCCTTTGTAGAATTGTTATTGTTAAAGATTGTTTTATGTGCCTAAATATTACAAATAACATTATTTCATATGCAAATTGAAATTAAATTTGTATTTTATTTATTACATTTTATTGTTACATTTATTTCAGATTTATTCCTCAGGCTTTTTCCTTTTTTGCATGGGTCCTGTTTATTGCAGATGTTTCATTTATTTAAACTGATGAATTTTGATACACACACACACACACACACACATGCAGATGTATAATGTGTGAGTATCAACACAATTCATACCAAAATACTTTTAGTTTGAACATTTGAAAAGAAAATTACACTGATATGTTCCTATAAGTGCTTCCAAAAGAAATTTAGTTTTACATTTAAAATTCAAAATATTTCAAAGTTACATTTTATACGTATTTGGAATGTAAATGAACAATTAACTAATAGAGGTAAAATATGCAGTTGGGAGAATCTTATAGCCCAACTCAGAAAAAATTTTACTGTAGTGTCAGTCAGTTTTGATGATCATGGGATATACATATTGGTGAATAGCCAATGAGTTTTTGAGCTTAATTGAAAATATTTTGGGGGTAAAGGGATTTATCGATACCAGAACAATATAACACTGGTTGAGAAACACTGATATAGTTCTTTCAGAAAAAGAAAACAAGTGTCATAACTTTTACTCCTCTTTTTCCAGATCTCCCAGGTGATAGAATGTGCGTGTGATAGGTGTTCTTCTCACCATGGCCAAATCTTCATATCTGCCAAACATTCTTCTCAGTGCAATAATACTCGTACGTGGCTTGTACCTCTTAGGATATTCACTTCATGCTATCAAATGTCCCTATTTTCTCTAAGTGAACTTAATAAGCTGAGCTTGTTTCCATGGCAAACATTGTATAATACTCATGTTTCAGTGAGGGGGAATGACTTTCAGTCGCTCAGTGATAATGTTCCAAGACCATTTATAGCTTTAAGATTTCACCTGTTACAGAAAAATCTTGAAAATGAACTATTTTAAAATGTGTAAATGACCTAAATAACTTCACAGATATGAAAGTAAAGAATTAAGAAAACTAAATATTTGCATTAGTATTATTTATAAGCCTCCACTCTTTATGCAGTATTCCACTACAAACCAAATGTGAGTGCCGTAAGTAAGCAACTATATTCAGTAAAGCCTCGATTGAGCAGAAGCTTCTTCTTATCCATGGACATCTCTGGTTCTGAGAGTATGCAGTGAAAATTAACTTAAAATTATCCATAATAAACAGGAAAAAAAAAGTAATCTTCAATATTTGCTTCTAAAAATTACTTTGTAGAGAGGAAATAGTATTTCTGCCACAAATGGGAAAGAATTAGCTTGGTCTGTGACAATATATGTGCTCAATAGTTGAATGCAACTGTGGTAAAATAGGACTCAGAATTACTGGTACAGGGTGGGGCGCAGAAACTTCCTTTTTGTGAAGACACATTGTGAAGGGAGGGGAGATCGCAGAAAAGTGGGGATAGGCTCGGCGAACGCAGCAGTCGAGGAAGTTTCTGTCTAATACCCCTCAGTAGGAAACATTAGGTGGACGAGTGAGCAGCGTACGTTTGCTGTCGAAGCCTATTTTTTGAACAACCATTCCTACGTGGTGGTGCTGCATGCGTTCCGTACTCACTTCGGAATTAAGCCCAGAGGTCCAGTTCCCAACTGGAAATCGATTGTTTTGTGTGTAGAGAACTTTAGGACAACCGGGAGTGTGGTGAAAAAATCATTAGGACAACAACGGGCCTTTACGACGCCAGAAAATGTGGAGGCAGTTCGACAGTCGATTCTGAGATCTCCAAGACGCTCCGCTCGCAAACATGCAGTCGGCCTATACATATCAAATCGTTCAATGCGCCGAATTCTTCATGAACATCTTCATTTCCATCCTCATAAGATGGTTGTTGAGCAAGAATTGTCACCACGTGATTTCCAGAACCGAATAACGGCGTGCGAAATGTTTTTGGAAACTTTACCCCCTGAAGCACTTGTTTTCTTTAGTGATGAGGCACATTTTCACCTATCCGGATATGTCAAGAAGCAGAATATGCGCTTTTGGAGTGGCAACAATCCCAGAGAGCTCCATGAGAGGCCACTTCACAGTGATAAGGTAACAGTATGGTGTGCGTTGTCGAGAGTTGGAGTTATTGGCCCTTATTTTTTTTAAGAAGACAATCATGCAGTTACTGTCAATTCACAGCGGTATGTGGACATGATTAAAAACTTTTTCGAACCAGCTCTTGAAGAAAGCATCTAGGAAATGCCTGGTTCCAACAGGATGGTGCCATGGCCCACATAGCCCGAGCTTCGATGACAGTTTTGAGGGCAAAGTTCCCCGGACGGCTCATTTCGCCTCGAGGTGATATCCCGTGGGCAGGGCACTCACCTGATCTAACGCCCTGTGATTTTTTTTATGGGGATACCTCAAGGCAGAGATTTTTAAACATCGCCACACAAACTTGCTTCAGCTGAAGAATGTTATTCAGCAGGAAGTAGCGCAAATTCTGGTGCACATGTTGGAACGTGCAGAGGGGAACTTCAGAAAACGGTTGCATCAGTGCGTAGAGAATGGTGGCCACCACCTTCGAGATATTTTGTTTAAAACTACATGATTTAAAACTTTAAAGTATGTTCTTTCATTAGCTAAACATAAATTTTGTCTATTCGCAATCATTTTTCTTTTGTTCGCCTTCAAAAAAATGAAGTTTCTGCGCCCCACTCTGTATCTTGGATTTATTTATGTTGTCCACTATTCTAAAAAAACACAATGTTTCAGAAACTGAATCTGTTTCCATCCTCAGCTGAGGGGGTGGAAGACACCTACTCTACTGGGTCTGTTAGAAAGAGCTAGAGCCGTGGTGGCTGGACCTGACTCAACAATGAATGAAGTAGTTTTTATTTTTTCTTTAATGTTTTATTTACCATTTATTGATATTATTAAGGAAAGCAACAGTATCTCAGTTGAAAAAGGGAAATTTTGCTAGTATAAGTTAAATAAGCTGCAACTTAGGACCTCACATTATGAGGGTCCTCAAAATACAGCAACATTTTATTAAAGTGCTTACTTGCACTCATGTTACTGTCAGATAAAATATCAGAAATTATACTGTAATTAGAAGTATAGTTGGCATTTAGTTTATGTCTATTGATAGTTTGCATTTTTTATGTTTTCCCTTGGCACTACAGCCCCAGTGGGCCTAGGCCTACCTCCATGAACTTCTCCATTCACTTCGGTTTTTCTAGATCTTACACATTCGGTAGGACTCCTTGGGCGGGTGATCAGCTCGTCACAAAGCGTCTACCTGTACGCAAACACAGAAAAACGCGCACACACAAACTAAAGATCCATGCCCTGAGTGGGATTCGAACCCACGATCCCGGTTTCCAAGCAAGCCAAGACAGTACATGCCTTAGACCACTTGACTACCGTGACCGGTGCTAGTTTGCATTGCACTTGTCTTTTACAGGGCATCTTAACCTTGACAGAGCTCAGCACTTAGGATCCTAGCATGATTAAATCAAATCTAAATATTTTTTCAAAGGCTGCACCATAGCTCAAGTGGTTAGTCACTGGCTTCCCATCGCAGCAGCCCAGGTTTAAGCCCGGGTATGGTCAAGTGGGATTTGTGGTGGAAAAAGTGGCGCTGGGGCAGGCTTTCTCCAAGTACTTTGGTCTCCCCTGTCAATCTTCATTCCACCAAATTCTCCAGCTTCTTAATCACCTGTGGGGCAGGTACAGTAGGCCAAACATTGTCCGACATACCGAGTGAACCCAGCTGGACTCCACCCCCCATTACGCAAATAAAAAAAAAAATATTTTTTCAACATTAACCACATTTCTATAAGTGAACGCATGCACACTAAGGGCAGAAATAGATGAATATAGTCATTGTTGGAAAAGTGATTAGCAAGTGAGAACTGAAAATCACATGCTCCACTGCCACTGTGTCCTCCCCTATCCCACAGTAACCTTAAAAAGACTGAAACATGCCCCATGTGGTGAGAAGGCATTATCTCAATTGTCTGAGCTACAGCATAAATTGTGTTTCTAGAATAGGATACTGTTTAAACTATTGTAATCATTTTTTTCAAATTCTTTCATATTCGTACAGTCTTTCTGTAGTCAAATCTGTTGCCACTGTCACACAGGAAAGTGTTAGAAATGGCATTGTAAGACATATGCCCCAGTTTGTCCAAAATTTGGTACACAGAGTAAACTATGCTGTTTATCAAGCTCAGGCAAAGTATTCTTATCTTGCAAATGGCTAGACATATTTAGTTATATTATATAACATGGCAAATCTCTGGAGAGTAGTGTGACACTGGACCACTAGAAACAGAGGAAGAACACAAAATTATCATTTGTGTTCAATAAGATTTTTAATATTATGCTTAGAATCAACTGCATGCATTATGTAGTTAATGTATCAGTGTACTTCTTAGCTCCATATATGCCATCCAGTGGAGATGGTAGTCACCACTCAGCTGTATGCCAAAAGCCGAAATTTCACACATGCATCACAGTAAATAGAGAGAGCAAGAGAATAAAATTCTGTAAGTACTATTAGGTTGTGGGTTGTGCAGCTGCAGTTCTGCATGACCTAAGTTATTGACCGGGTTTCATTATGCACTATAAATACAGAAGTCTTTGCCATGGTAATTGCATTGTTATGTCATTTGAAGTAAAATTGACCAATCATATATCAAAGAATTCATTTTTTGCCTCTTTAAGTCCATACGCACTCATTCAAACATTTGTGATGTCAGCGTTAAGGCATAGTAGGTAGGCTACATACCATATGTTTGGTGACATATCCATAAGGTCAATTGCAGAATGAAGTTGGTTATTAGGGTATAAAGACTGCAAGTTACACCTTCATCTCTGGGCATCTTTTATATTTGTGCATCTTATTTGGTGCAATTTTAGAGATACCAAGGATAATATGGTTTGTGAGAAAGAATTTGATATTGTAGCATGTAGACCCATTGTTAGGCAGTGGCCATGAGACAAGCAACTATACAACAGCTGTTGCTAGGTAGCAGCTCCACCAAGAGACATGAACTTAACAATTCCATAGCAATAAGATGATACAACATTAACAGGAAGTAGTGTTTTCTTCAGAGTTAGAATTAGTGACATGGCCACGCCATAGCTCAAGTGGTTAGTCGCTGGCTTCCCACCATGGTGGCCCAGGTTCAATCCTGGGTCTGGTCAAGTGGGATTTTTGATGGACAAAGTGGCGCTGGGGCAGGTTTTCTCCGAGTACTTCGGTTTCCCCTGCCAATCTTCATTCCACCAGTTGCTCCACAATCACCTTCACCTGTCATCTTGGGCTGGTACAATAGGCGAGAAGTGGCCTCAGTGCAAGGGACTTAGTCCCACCCCACTAGCAATAAAAAAATAGAATTAGTGACAAGTGGGTTGGTGAGTTAGTGAGTTAGAGGACTGCAGAGGCTCAGTCATTGTGAGCTGTTGCTGTTAGAAGTTGGTGACTGAGGATGGGGACAGTTTGGGAACCCATAGAAAGGGGAACATCTGCCTTTGAAGTTGCTACCAAGATAAGGTGGTGAAGATGTGACTGTGGACACTAGCGTGTGTGTGTGTGTGTGCATGCATGCATGCTTGTGAACTGTAAAGTGTCATCACATGCCATATCAAAGAATCTGGCAAATCTGTTTATCAGTGTGAAACCTGTCCATACTTACTCCATACAAATAACAATATGGTGGTTTTAGAAATCAAGCCATTCACTGTTCTATTAGCCTACTGTTGTTTCATAAAAGGAAAAAGCAGGCTTACAAAATCACTGTTCTCTCTCTGCTTTGTCTTTTGCAAACCTTTGAACCAAGTGATTGAAACTTGATATGAACATCATGCTATCTGAGGGCCACCCCAACTCCCTACTCTTTTATTTAATACAGCTGGTTAATAATAATATTTAAGACACAAAATTTTATCAGGTGGCAGTAACATAATTACCCTTTGATATTGGATTCTAAAATGATGTATGGTAACAGTTCTTCAAAAAATATTCATAGAGGTGAAGCTCAGCTCATTCTAGATCTTGGCATGTGTTGAGTAGTCATCATCAAATTCCAGTTATGTCATACCCATGGGAGAATTGTTGGCACCCATTGGACGAGAAGCTCTTACTTTTATAAATGTCTTGAAAGTTTTGTGCAGTATATAGCAGTTGAACTGTGACATACCCGACAAGTTTGAAAAACAACTGTATTAATATCTATGTAATAATTTATTTGTAAGATTTGAGGCTTTCACGGCGGTGACTATGAAGAAAGCAGTCTTCTGGGATTTGGCACCGTGTATATGTGGTGTTAACCACAGACAGGCAGACAGGCCGCTCCGTGGACATGAGGTTGAAGGAGCATCAGCGGCACATCCGTCTCGAACAACCGGACAAGTCGGCCGTAGCTGAACACAGCATCGATCTGGGACACCGCATTCAGCTTCAGAATACCTCCATCCTCGCCACCAAGACCCGCTATATGGATCGCATCATTAGGGAGGCAATTGAGATTGAACTGCATCCAGGAAATATGAACAGAGAGGGGGGGTTTTGTCTCAGCAAGTCTTGGAAACCTCTCATCTGTTCTCTTAAAAAAACCCCACCGGGATATGACGCCAGATCCAGAAGGCCACACAGGCCATGACCAACCAACATAACAACCCCCCCCCCCCCCACCTTACGGGGTGTGCCCAGCCTTTAACCTTGCCTTTCTCTCCCCTACACAAAAACCATGCTTGTCCCAGCTCCCTTCCCCTACCCCTCCCACACTACTGCTTTCACTTGTATACTTGCCCTTCCCCCCTACCTTCTCTGCTCTCACATAGGTGTGTATATTTCCAACACAGTCTGCTTTTACCGGTTCTCACGGTCTCTTCGCTTGCAGATTTCTTATATTTTTTCTTGTACCCTGAAGATGGAGGCGATACGTTCCTCCGAAACGTCGGTTAACACCACATATACACGGTGCCAAATCCCAGAAGACTGCTTTCTTCAATAATTTATTTGTTAAATAATGTCTTCTGGTGTATATAAAGCAGGAAAGTAGTTGCATCTAGTGTATTTGCCATATCAAAGGTAATCAAAAATCAGCAAGGTCCTGGCATGGTCAAGGTAGAGGAAGTAGGTTTAAGCTTTAAAGAGCTGCCTGACTTGGAAAATAAGATTTATGAACTGGAAGAATATTCAGAAGATGTTATGGTAAAACTTGATAAAATGAAGCCAAAACCTGCCATATAATTTGTATCTGAAATGTGGATTGGAAAAGTAAGGGCTGAAGAGACTGGTCAGACAGCAGATACGAATCTTCTGGCATTTTTTTTTATATACATGTACACGGAAATAATTAGAAACTTTGAGGTTGGGAACACAGTAGCACATGTTGACAAACATTTAGAAGGCAATGGGGAGGATGGGAGATACAGGACTACCAAGTAAGCAAATACAATGCAGATTTCGGTGAATAAAAATGTTTGGAAACCTAAAACACAGTATTTGACTTAACGGTGACACGCATGGGTCAGAGACCTGAACATTTCCAGGACAGAAAAAAAAAAAGGAGGATCCAATGGTTTAAACCATTTTTACGTCTAAGCAGGCTGGACTTCCGGTTATGTTGGAAATTTGGCCATATTGTGTGTGGTTGCAATGGTGTATTGTTTAAGCATATTACCGGCAAAATAACCGTAATTAAATTGAAGGAAATGTAAAATGGCTATCAGCAGAGAAGTATTTGTTTTAGATAATGGTGCATACACAGCAAAAGTTGGAATTTCAAATTCTGAGCATCCTAGGTATGTAAACCAAAAAACATCCCCTAACCTTACGTAAAGTATGGTACAGCTACACGGCTTGAGAATAAAAGTAGTCTCCATTGGAGAACGAATCGCACAGTTGAATTAAGTAGTGAGTGTTTAAAGAAATTCAAATTATTTTGAATACGATTGCGATTTATAACAAAGCCCACATGATTACGTGTCTTATTCGTCACACAAGTTATCATCCATCTCTGACATGTTGCACTTTCGATATATATTAATAAGAATCAGCTTTTTCTTCCTTAGCGAATTAATGTTAATACAGTAAGATGGAGAAAACAACTTTGCAATTCGGGGACCATCTATTTGTATCTTTTTAACAATTTGATTGTAATATGATGGCACAAAACTAATTAAGATTTTGAAGTTGTGTGATCATGGAGTGGTCATAGACAATTTAAAGCATTATGCATTTCATATAGACCATAAAAATCCTGAAGGAAAGAGACCACTAGGAAGGATCTTAGAGACATAGGCTGGGGTGGTATAGACTGGATTGATCTGTTTCAGGATAGAGAGCAATGGAGGGCTCTTGAAAACATGGTAATAAACCTTCAGGTTCCATACATTGTTGGGAAATTCTTGAGTAGCTGCATAACTGATTGCTTCTGAAGAATGTCTCAACTCCATGAAGTTAGTAATCTAAACATAAAACTACCAAAAATTGTTGGTGTAATGTTTTTATGTGTTAAAAGTATACATATACACTCCCCTATATGCCTTAATGGCAAGATGCTTAAGTAGTTAAGCACAGAGACAGCTTTACCTTTATATATATACAGAGAGGTCCAAAAGAATGTACTCACTCTTTGATAGTCAGTATCTTTGGAACAAAATGACATGTAGTTACAATTCTTGCATGGAGAGAGAGTCATCATACGTGTTTGAAGTGACCACCATCAGCGGCTAAACAGTGTCGATGCCGCCGAACTGCTGAGCAAACTGCAGCTGTCAGTGTGTCCGGTGTGATGTCTGCATATGAGATGGTTTCTCATAGCACGTTCAGTGTAGCTGGCTTTTGTTGATAATCTTCATCCTTCAAGGTTCCCCATAGGTAGAAGCCGAGAGGTGTTACTTCTGGAGACCGTGGTGGGTACTCAATAGCACCTCTTCAACCTATCCATCATCCAGGTAGAGTGTCATCCAAGTACACCCTGACATCTCGATGGTAGTGAGGTGGAGCACCATCTTATTGTAGGTAAAATCTCTCATCTCCAAACAGCTCTCAAATGGCAGGGAAAATTGATGTCTGAAGCATATTGAGATACACCTGACCAGTTACAGTTGCCCAGTTCTTTGCTTATGCACATCATGAACAGTACCATTGGCTTCAAATTTATCCCGAATACGGGCAATTGTTTGACGTGTTGGTGGCAGAGTTCCGAACTCATTCTGTCATTGTCGTTGTACCTCTTTAATGTTTTCGTACTTCCAGTACCACTTCAGTAAGGCCTTCCGTTGCTCAAAGAACAACCTTTCAGCCATTGTTGCCGCTGTCTTCTGCTCACAGTGCGCACATGGCACAACACTCACGTGACTAATGTGACCTTCACCATCTGTTGAGAAAACATTACACTACATTTACTATCAAAAAGTGAGTAAATTTTTTGGATGCCGCTGTATATATATGTATATGTGTGTGTGTGTGTGTGTGTATATATATATACATAAATAAAATGTATGTTGCTAGACGGTACATGTAAAGGCAGATATTATATTGTATAATTGTTAATGTATGAATTGTGCTAGTCTGTACTGAATATAAGCATATGAAAAAGCTGATGTTGTAAGTACTTTTCAATATGTTTTACTGTTATTACCAAGATATTGTTCCCCTTATTCTAGGGTCATCCCAAACTGCATCATGAAAGCAAAGAGTGAGAGGAGGAGACCATTTGTTGGTGATCAACTGGAAGACTGTAGGGATGCATCAGGACTGTTTTATATACTGCCATTCCAGAAGGTTAGGTATTTGTCCCACACTGTAGACTTCAACATGATAAATGCCTGAGAAGACACAAAATATCATAATTTATGTGAAGTAGAAATACAGTAAAACTTGGTTATAGCAACATCGGTTTCTGCGACACCTTGTCTATTGCGTCAAATATTCAATGGTACGAACTAATTCCTCATAAAGCAACTGTTTTTATACCTTGCTTAGTACAACATGCACAAATGCATCAACCTCGTATGTAACGTCATTTTCATTCCTGAATTTCTCTGATATCGTGGGAAAGTTCGATGTGTCTGCCCACCCTCACTTTCTCTACTTGCTGACGTGACTGTCCTGGAAGAATACGACCGCGGGCTGCAAGAGGAGCGTGGGTTTTATGCGAAAACAAGGGTGTGGGGTGGGACTGCGTGAATAGTGCAAGAGGACGCGGCAGGTTGTTAACTGCATTCCTTTCCTAGAATCTCGTCTAACAGGACCTCACATTGTCTACTTACCCTATAGTGTTCCTGCCTAAACCCAGAGAAGTGCAGTAGCGAAAACATGGCAATGAAAAGGAAAGTTTTAAGCATTGAAGAGAAAGTTAAAGTGATTCGTGAAATATTGTGTGTATTGTCAGTGAAAAGCGCTGTAATATGTCTTTGATATTACACATTTGGGCAATTCCACGTTAATGTTACGTTAGTCTGTACTTAACTACGTATTTCACTAAAAAATGCAACATTTTAACTCGGTTTTTGGTAGATTTTTACGTGACTAACATAAGGCTACTGTGGAAGTGCCCATTTCGGTTACGACATTCGTTTATAACGACACTATTTTTAGGTCCCTTTGATGACGTTATAACCAAGTTCTACTGTACATTCAAAATATCAGACAATACAGCTTCATGCACACCATTTTTTGTTATCTGTCATATGAAATTATATTTTTGCCCCTTTTCAGGAACGTTTGTTGTCAGATACTGCTGGCTCATACACATACATATAACAGAGCCACAGTAGGGCTCCTTGAAAATTCTTATCCAGGTGTGTAATATGTACAATGTCTCAAAGTTTTTTTTTTGCTGGCCTATTTGTAAGGAATTCCAAGTTTACAGTTTCAAAATGTCCCATGTCTCTTCCCCTCCGTGAAACAGTGGACTGACTTCAGTGACACACTAACATAATGCCACCAGATGCAACCCATCTTTTCTTTCTTTCTTTCTTTCTTGTCATCTGTAATATTAACATCAGGATTACACTTCCAAGGTAGATGTGTTGCTAGCATTATTTAGTATAGGGTCTGGGAATTCATTGTCCTAATAGGCCTTTATTTTTGTTCACAACCATGTTATGCATGGAGCAGTTTTGCTACATAATTGAACATATTTTCCAACTGAGAGAACTTCTGTACACATGCACACTGTGTGTGCTAGCATACACATGATAGAAGGAAGTAATTGGTGAGATTATTATTGCAGAAACCTTGTTATACAGTTTGTAACAGATTCGTATGGCCTGGAACTCTCAACAGTGGAGGGATGTTAGGTAATATGAAAGATTACTTTCTGTTTTTCTAGGGATATTTGGTGAATTGGGATGTTCAGAAGAATGTATGGGACTATATCTTCAGTAAAGAGTGCTGTCCAGCTAATTTCTCTGAGACACCTCTTGTTGTTACTGAACCATACTTCAATTTCCCTTCCATTCAAGAGGCCATGACTGAAATCTTCTTTGAGGAATATGAATGCAAATCGTTATTGAGGATAAATGGTAAGGATATAGTGGTTGATATTTTTAAACTGTCAATTTAGATGGATTTTTCAGTAATATTTAAAGCTCTGATAACTCAGTCACTATAGCCTGACCAGAGGCTGGTTGGCTAGGCTTCGGTTCCTGGTGACACAGGTATATTTCCTTGCATTGCCACATCCAGGCAGGCTCTGAGGCCTACCCAGCTTTCTGTTCAGTATGTACTGGGTGCTCTTTGTCAGGGAACAAGATGGTTAGGACACGAAGCTGACCACTCACCTCTAATACCAAGTCTAGAATATTTGGTTCTTTACCTCCGTAGATTCAGTGGCTTCATAGCATGCTGCATAAGCACAGAAAGAACCTTGCTTTTCGCCTTAGCAATATTTTCCTTGGAGCTCATGTCATAAAACCACTATATCAGGATTTTTTTTCAAAATTTCTCTTGCACTGGGTCTAGTATGTGAGAAAGGCAAGCAAGCATATGTACCATGGAAAGATATATAAAAATATTGGTGTCACATTGGTAAACATTTTATGCACAATGTTTAATGTATGTTGAGAGATGAAGTCAGAATTCTGTGATGGATGTTTTTACCATCTCCTAATTTTATCCCAAGAGCTATTTGTGAACTTCTATTGATGGTACCTAATATATTAATATTAAGGGTGTTCATGTCATTCAACTCAAAGTTTACTCTTCTTATGAGATTCTTCATCATTGTCCATTGATCCTTCTAACAGCTAGGCCACTACATAGCAAACCCTGCTTCATTTTTGTCTTCCATTCCATAAGATCTTCTCTTATATCTCAACACACTTTTTCTATATTCCTTTCCACATATCTCTCGTGTGGTCTCTCCATTTTGTTCTTACTTTTACAATTGGTATTTTGTTCAGCATCTTTATGTTGATGGTGGCAGTGGCGGTGACAGGGGCGGGGGCGGCAGCAGCAGAGGCAGGGCCACTGATAATAAAGTGTCACTTTTTTCTCTTAGCTGGAGACCTGAGCTGCTATAACTACAAGAAGAAGAATCCTGGTACTCTGTGTTGTCTACTGGTTGATTCAGGCTACAGCTTCACTCACGTTGTGCCCTATATAAAAGGCAAGAAACTGAAACAAGGCATCAGAAGGATCGATGTGGGTGGCAAGATGCTCACCAACCACCTGAAGGAGATAATCTCTTATAGGTATTGTGAATTAAGTAAGTTCACTTCAGGAGCCAGCTGCCCTGTCACCCATCCTGCCCTGTGCTTTGGGCCACTCTTTAAAGAAATACAGCATTTTACACTTTTGTTAGGTTAAACATATATTTTTTAACAAAATCTGGGACATGCTTTGGAGAGAAGGTGAGAATGGAATGATAGGAATAGGGAGGAGCACATTTACTTGGTGAAAACTGCTCGCACCTTGTCTTTGAAATTAGGGTCAAGGAAACTTATTGGTTGGTGTAGTGGTAGTGCTTTATACTTGTATTTGGGAGATATTCAGTTGCTGGGACACCAGCTACCTGACGAATTTCTTTCCTCATCCCCTCCCCCCCCCAAAGAAAATTTCAGGGCAGTGTTTGATTAGGCCATGCTCAGTGTTTCCTTTAAACCCATCATATATCAGTCGTTCCAATTTAGAATGTAGATTTGGCCCAGAGGCAGTCTGGGCACAATGGCAAGGAGAAGTATGTTTGCCCCTAAGAGGAATTAGTTCTATATTATAGATAGCCAGTCAAATTTCTGAGCTATCCTTTCTGTAAGGCTTTCATTCATTCTTTGTTCTAGCCTGGTTTGTGTTTCTGAAATCACAGACTGGAAACTTCTGTTTAGTTCTGCTTTTATAAAATCAGTTATTGCATGCATTCCTTTTCAGGCAGCTTCATGTAATGGATGAAACTCATGTTATGAACCAGGTCAAAGAAGATGCCTGTTTCGTGTCACAGAATTTTTTCCGTGACATGGATATAGCCCGTAAGAGAGATAAAGAGAATACCATTGCTCGAGACTATGTTCTGCCTGATTTTACCACTCTCAGGCGAGGATATGTTCGTTCTATAGATCCAGTTGATAAGGCTGGTGAGAGTGAACAGGTAATATCACAAAAGTAGACATATTTGTAATCTTATGTAATTAGGGTCATTAAATAATAATTTTGTGCATAAAGTATGTATGTGGAAATGAGGCATGCATGCTCGTACAACAGTCTGAAGGGAAGGAACCACTATGGAAGTCTGGGTATAAATGGGAAGATGATAATGTTTATTCTTTTGTTTAGTGACGGGGACACGTGGTAGCATAGTTGGTTGAGGCACTATGCTACAAGCCAGAAGGTCGCGGGATCAAATCCCGATGAGGTCATTGGACTTTTCAATTGACCTTATTCTTCCAGTCGCACTGTGGCCCTGGGGTCGACTCAGCCTCTAACAGAAATGAGTACCAGGAATATTCCCTGGGGCTAAAGGGCAGCAGGAGCGTAAGTCTGACTACCTGACTGCCATCTGTGAGCCAATTGTCTAGAAAATATGGGAGCCTCGACGTCTCACAACCTTATGGGCCTTCACAGTCTGCTACAGGGATAGATTGAATGTAGATTCTTGTATTAGATGGAATATAGGAATCATAAATCTCTGCAGGACATCTGTTTTTGTTAAACCAACACAGTACTTAGAATTATATTTATTTCATATATGCAGCAACAGATTCTACGCTTGAACAATGAGCGCTTTACGGTGCCAGAGATCATGTTCCACCCTTCAGATTTGGGCATCTCACAGATGGGAATTCCAGAAGCTATTTGCCACAGCATAGGAGTATGCCCTGTGGAAGCTCAGCCACACCTTTATGCCAACATTCTACTTACTGGTGGCTGCTCACTCTTTCCTGGTTTTCGAGAGCGAGTTGAAGCTGAAGTGCGAAGCAGAGCACCAGATGACTTGGATGTTCAGGTTACATTACCAGCAAAGTGAGCTTCTGAACCTTTGCATGTATTGTATGAGTATACAGTTAACTCTTTGTGCAAGTGACTTCAGTATAAACTCAAATGTAGTGCATGTACAAGGTCTCTGAAAAGGGGCACTCCATATTTTTTATTTCCTTCCAGTCATTATGCTGTGATACAAGGAGGCATAGTGGCAGCAACATTATGAATATTAGTGATGAGAGTTTGACATGATCATTGTGTCATTTTGCCCCTTTTTATGGGTACCGCCTGTGTGGTCTAATGGTCAGAGTTCATGGCCACAGATCCAGAGGTCCTAGGTTCGATTCCTGGCGCTACCAGATTTTCTGAGAAGTAGTTGGTCAGGAACAGGGTCCACTCAGCCTCGTGATGATAATGAGGAGCTATTTGAAGGAAATAGCGGCTCCAGTCTAGAAAACCAAGATTAGCAGCCATGGGAATCCATTGCGCTGACCACGTGACACCCTCTATCCACAAAAGTTGGCACTAACTTCACCAATAAATGGCAGTTGCTCGGTCAGTATAGTTTGCTGGTGGAGGACAGGCCATGGAGGTTTTTTTTTTATATATATATAGAAATTACAAAGTACAGATGGCATAGAGTATATTGTAAAAGAGGTTATTGGCAGGAAGAAGTCTGTTCGTAGTAATACTTGGATTCATAATGTACTTGCTTTCAGCCCTTACAGATATGATGCATTTATTACAGACGATGTGTTTTTATCAGTGTATGAAAGCATATGGCAATATGTTAAATTTTTCACTTACAAAATTCAAATGCAGCAGAATGAAGCAGTGATGATAGACATCATCTGTTTGATTTCTGTGGTCAGAAATATCATTTGATATAACTAATGAATGGTTCGCAACAAAGCAGTTAACAATAAATTATGAAAAAAAATGTTTTTTACAGTTTCAAACAAAAAATAGCAAAATTATGGGTATTCAGGTCAATTATCTAAACAACCAAATTTAAATCAATTCTAATGTATCTTTTTTTGGACTAAAAAGAGAGAATTTCTTAACATGGAAAGTTCATATAGATACTTTAATGGTTAAGTTAACCCTTTTGCGCTGTGATTTAAATTCTGCTGCCGTGTCTCTCCGGCGGTAATATATTCAGCCGTCCATTTAAATTTTGCTCGAAAATGATTTATTCATCATTGTTCTTAAATTATATGAGATAGGAACATGAAACTTTCACTAAAATGATCTTAAAAGGTGGTTTTATAACCTTGCCTTATAATATGAGCGCCCGGTATCTCGGCAATGGAAGCAGTTGGTTTAGAATTTGAGCAGTGTATCGTACGCCTTGAAGCATGAAACTTTCACTAAAATGATCTTAAAAGATGGTTTTATAACCTTGCCTTATAATATGAGCGCCCGGTATCTCGGCAAAGGAAGCAGGTGGTTCAGAATTTGAGCGGAGTATGGTACGCATTGAAGCATTCTACTATACACAGCGCTGACTCACATTCACCACACCAGTACTGCGTATCTCTCATTTGGCTCTTTTTTCCGTAAACCAAACATCTTCTGTGCGGCCTTGCCTTCTTCCCCGTGGGGGGAATACAAGAAGAAATGTCTCTCCATGAGTCGTATCGCTAGCCAGATTAGCTGCAGTAAATTCAACCTTTATGTTATCATAACAAGTGTTGGTGCTTCTGCGTTTCATTTTCCATCCATTTTGGCGGCATAAGACGTCGTAGGGGTGACCACAGAATTCATGAAGTTATTCTAAGAACTAGCTGGTATGTAGTGAACGAAAGCAGAGCTTAGCTGGCTCAAAAAAATATTTATGGTCATCCCTCGAAACGACCACCAAGGTCAGTACGATAAAATGGAGTCAACTGGAGCGATAATACATGAAGGAATGAGTTCTTTTCCCTCCCCCACACACACCCGTATCGTCACAGGGGGTGACCACAGTGTTCTGCCTTAATTTGTGGCGTTTTTCTAAGAACTGGCTGCCATGTACTGTGCGAAATCAATCGATCTTGCAAGAATAAAATTTGGACATCCCTCTTCTAAGAATTCCAATTGAGTGTGTTAGTGTGGCCAGCTCAGGGCAATATGATATTATAAACACAGCACATATCACGTCTCTGCTGTTTATAACTTCATAGGAAAGAAAACACACCATTCATTACAGTTTGAAGAAAGAAACTTCTACCAGAAGCAACAGGAATTTGCTGCAAGACAGGTATATGTAACAATGACTTAGCGCTCTTAAACTCGTGACTTATTAAATATAGTTCTCCTGACAACAGGCCAGCGAAAAATCTAACAATCTACAGCAAAACCATCAATTATTATGGGCGTTATAACATAGGTGTGCAGCTGGACGAAACATTGACGTCAAACCCCCGCAGACGATTTAAATACCTTGACGAAACATACACGTCAAACCACGCTGAACGGTTAAACAGATCTTGTTTTGCTATCCGATCAGTAAAATATGAGACAGTTTTGAGACAGCAGTTACAAGAGTAGGAGGTTGGTGTGAGATGGCAGGCAGTCTGCAAGGACTTAAGCCCAGGAGCAGAGGATTGTCCGCTGTTGGAAGATGTTATCAAGCAGCACAGGGAAGACTGTGACTGAGAACACTAGTCTTTGTGTGATACTGATTTGTAAAGTGTAATTACAAGTTGTTTAATCCAGTAATCTGATTATCAATCCAAACCCCATCTGTAGTCACTCCTTCATGTGGCAGTATAACGGTCAGTTAAGTATGATATGCATGTGTTGTGTTTTGCAGCCCTGTAACCTATGCATGGCATGGGGGAGCATTGCTGGGTCAAGACTCAGAGTTCTCCAACATGACAGTGAGCAGAGAAGAATATGAAGAAGAGGGACACAGTTTATGTTTTGAGAAGTTTGATATTTGATGTGATGATGGGTAAGTGAAGGAAGGTTCCAACATTCACCATAGAAATTCATACATGAGTATAATTATTTAGTTCACATAATGTTAACAATCATAGTTGCTTCAAATGCTTCTTATTAAATCTTGTATCAGTTCCTCTTTACAAAAGACTAAATATTAAGATATCAAATTAATTATTTTGCCCCTTGTTTTGTATGGTTCATTTTCGTAACATAATGATTTTTTACGGTGAGGAGTTGTTAGCCCCACGCCCAACCCCCAAGCTGAAGGGCCACCCCTTGTCGGCTGCCCATGACTGCTTATTAAATATATTCACAGCTTCCCTTCAAAACTGGAGGGCATCTTCTCCATCCGCAGCCTGAGGACACGCCATGCCATGGTGACAGGGACAAGTAGTCTATTATTGTACCAGTTCACAAGAAGGGTGATAAAACTGACTGTAGTAATTATCGGGGGATATCACTGCTATCAACCTCATACAAAATTTTATCCAATATTGTTCTTTCAAGGTTAAGTCCATATAGAGATGAAATTATTGGGGTTCATCAGTGTTGGTTTCAACGTAACAGATCAACTTCAGATCAGATCTTTTGCACTCGTCAGATATTGGAGAAAAAATGGGAGTACAATGAGACAGTACATCAGCTATTTGCAGGCTTCAAGAAAGCCTATGATTCAGTTAGGAGGGAAGTATTGTACACTATTCTGGTAGAGTTTGGGCTACCCATGAAACTACATAGTTAAGCTGATTAAAATATGTTTAAACGAAACATATAGTAAAGTCCGTATAGGTAAACATTTGTCTCATAAATTTCCTATCCATGATGGTCTAAAACAAGGAGATGCTTTATCGCCACTCCTTTTCAACTTTGCCTTAGAATATGCAATTAGGAAGGTCCAGGGAAACCAGGTGGGACTGAAATTAAATGGGACATATCAGCTGTTGGCCTATGCTGATGACATGAATCTACTGGGTGATAATGTAGATACCATAAAGAAAAACACACAAACTTTAATTTATGCAAGTGAAGAGGTTGGTCTAGAAGTGAACACTGAGAAAACTAAGTATATGTTACTGTCTCATCAGCAAAATCATGACATAAAGATAGGAAACAGATGTTTTGAAAATGTGGCACAATTCAGATATTTGGGGACAACAATAACAGATGGAAACCTGATTCAGGAGGAAATTAAGAGGCGATTGAACTCGGTTAATGCTACCATTCAGTCCAGAACCTTTTGTCTTCTCATCTGTTGTCCAAAAGAATAAAAATTAGAATATACAAAACTATAATTTTGCCTGTGGTTCTGTATGGGTGTGAAACTTGGTCTTTGACATTAAGGGAGGAACATAGACTGAGGGTCTTTGAGAACAGGGTGTTGAGAATATTTGGACCGAAGAGAGATGAAGTGACAGGAGGTTGGAGAAAACTGCATAATGAGGAGCTTCATAACTTGTACTCTTCCAAGTATAATTAGAATGATCAAGTCAAGGAGGATGAGGTGGGCAGGTCATGTAGCACGAATGGGGGAGATGAATGCGTAGAGGATATTGGTGGGAAAGCCAGAAGGAAAGAGACCACAGTGTAGACCAAGGCATAGGTGGGTGGACAATATTAGAGAGAGATAGGATGGGATGGTATGTATTGGATAGATCTGGCTCAGGATAGGGACCAGGGGAGGGCTTTTGTGAACACAGTGATGAACCTTCGGGTTCCATAAAATGCTGCGAAATTATTGAGTAGCTGCATAATTGGCACCTCCTCCAGAAAGGCTCAGCTCCATGAGTAAGTAAGTAAGTATTGTTTTGTATGGTTGTGAGATATGGCAGTCAACTCACCATGAAGGAAGAACAGAAATTACATATATAATTTGAAAATGAAAGGAGAAGCTATGGAATTCTGCTCTTGAGGATGATGAATTAAGTGGGGAATGATAAATTTTGTGTTTTTTGCTAATATTATTATTAATGAGGTTCAGATAAGTTGTAGTGATCTGGATATATTGTGCAGTTGTAAGAAATGCATACAGAAGTTTGGAGTGAAGTGCAATTGGGGAATTGGATGATCAAGATAAAAATGGGAAAGTAGTATTAAAATGGACCTGAAAGAAAGAAATGTGAATGTAATTGGTTTGAAATTTGGTACAGTTAGTATTGTTGAACATTAGGTTCTCATACCTACTTTTCCATTATACTGTCACGTGTTGGCAAATATGCCACAATACATTTCAAGTTAACTTTGATGTGATAATAACCTTGTTAGGAATGTGAAGCAGAGGCCCATTAATTGGTGAGTTAATGAACAGAGATGGAACTGAACTTGAGAAAATTACTTAAACACAGAGTTAAATCATAGGTATGTGTAAGAATATTATTTTTTTAGTTCCGGCCAAGCATTTGGAAAACAGATTAGAACAAGACTTTTTTGTGCTAGACAAGTTGTTCACTGTAGTCACAATTTATAGCACTTATAACATGCATAACACAGTTTTTCGTGGTGCACTGAACTGTATTATGTATCATTTTTATATCATTACCTTTTTCAGTGACAGTTTTTTGTTGTATTTAAAGGTATTAATTTTAGGGCCGTGTCCATGTATGATTTGAAGGTTGTGTAGTTTGCATGTTACAGTGCAAAGCAAAAGTACAGTCTTGAAGTTCAGGACTGAAAACTCAACATGCAGATTTGATTTTAATTTCACATCAGAAATTTGAGATCTGCACATGTCTGTTAAGTGAAAGTGTTCATCACCGCAGAGTGTCTTATTTCTATCTGGATATTTTATGGAACAGCAGTCCTGCAGGCCATTGAAGTGACCTGCACATCATAACAAGTTTGGCTTTTAAGATTTACTGTTAAGTCCAGATCTTTTTTTCATCCACAGAAATGCATATGCGCCTCACATGCAGTAAGAAAAGATGCAGAATCATTTCATTACTCACCTGCAGACATGAGAGGAAGCCAGCATGCTCTTCCCAACCCCTTTGTTTGCATAGCCTTGTGGAACAGAAGTGGGAGCCTGTGACAAGATGTACTAAATGAGAGATGTATTTGAAACAGAGTATTAGAAAAAAGTACATTATTATAGCAGTACAAATATTCCAGACAGTGGGAAAAGAAACTCACACACACACACACACACACACAGTTCACATGTTATTACATAATTCTTCTATTAAAACATGTTATATAATTATATAAGGCCCACCCTCACATTATTTTTTTTTTTTGCGCACAGAGTCGGGGGAGAGGTGGTATGTACAAGGTGGTTCAAATATGACCGGGACTGATTTAAAAAAAAAAAAACATAATTGCCAAACACTTACTTGCACATGTCAGTCTTCAACGTACTCCCCTCCAGATTAAACACATTTTTTTCAACTTTCTGGAAGCATCCTGATGCCCCCCCCCCCAAAAAAAAAGACTTGTGGTTGGTGGCGTATCCACTCCCGAACAGTCTGGATGACGGCGTCATCCACAAACCACATGCCTTGCAAGTCTGATTTGAGCCTTCCGAACAGGTAGAAATCACTTGGGGACAAATCAGGACTGTACGGCGGATGTTTCAGAAGGTTCCATTTCAATTTCTGAAGGATTTCCGTTGTTGTTTTGGCCGTATGAGGGTGTGCATTGTCTTGAAGGAAGGCTACCCACTTTCCACCTGTCTTCCGCTTGGATCGGATCTTTTCCTTCACGTCTGTTGCCAGGAGGTCTGAGTAATAAGCTGCATTGACTGTTCTGGCATCTGTCAGAAAGTCTACATGGATAACCCCCTTCCAGTCCCAGAAGAACGTTGCCATCACTTTTCCTGCTGAATGGCTCCTCCGCGCTCTCTTGGGTTTGGGAGAACTGGTATGCCGCCACTTGCGTGATGACTGCTGGGGCTCAGGAATGAAGTAGTGCACCCGCGTTTTATCGGTGGTCACTATAGACTTAAAAAATGCATCACCTTCATCTTCAAACTGCTATAGGAGACAACTGGCAGCATGCATGTGCACCATTTTGTTCACGTCCATCAAAGTGTGTGGTACCCACCATGCATTCACCTTGCGATAGTGCAGGTGGTATTTCACGGTGTCTTCTACACTACCAACACTGATGGACAGCATTGCTTCAAGTTCCTTGATAGTGATGCGCCTATTCTCACGAATAAGTGTGTCTGCACGATCAATGTTTGGCTTGGTGACAGATGTTCGCAGCCAACGATCATGCGGTTCATTCTCCACGCGCTCTCTGCCCTCTCTGAAGCACTTACACCACTCAAACACACAGGTCCGTGAGAGACACGCTTCCCCATACTGTTGTTGGAGTCTGTGATGAATTTCAGTGGATGGGACGTTTTCTCGAACGAGGAAGTTGATCACAATGCGTTGTTCCACACTCCATGGTACCTTCTGTACTCTCATCCCTCTAGCAACTCCCAGACAGCACTGAACCCCAACAGGAGGGAGAGTGGAGGTTGTGGCTACAATCTCTCAAGGTCGCACAGCTGCTGCGCAGTGCGGCTTGTTTACAAAAAAATCAGTCCTGGTCATATTTGAACCATCTAGCAGATTGCTTTTCTAACAGATTCATGGAGCTATGTAAAAAAAACTAACAGACGTCTGTGACTTTTTTTGCCGTAAGGCCTATATAATGCTTTTCTGTTTCATAGACTTCCTAACAGTGCTGCTGCAGTCATTTACAGTGGAACCTCAATGTTATGAGAATTCGTGAAGTCCATAAAAATGTTCTTTGTAACAGGTATGCATAATCTCCAAAAATTATTGAATGTTTTACAAGCCTGTCCCGTGACTTCCAAATTTGTATGATACTGAGGTTTGAATAATAATGCAGGAATGTCGATATTTATGCTTTCATGCTGTTATCATGGGGATGTGAACATGAAGAAGAATAAGTCAACATTCTAAACATTGTTAGCTTTATCTGAGCCAAAGAGTTAACAATTTTCTTAAACTTACATAACCTTTTACATTTGCAGCTAACTGCTAGGGGGTGTATTTTTGAGCAAAAGTCACATCTGTTATTTGGTGCACACTTACAAATTCCAGCCACATTGTGCCCTTAATTTACTTCATGTGCATGTATGGTAATAAACACAATAAATTATGTTTAACTTGTGCAACACATGAGCAGTTTAAATCACACCACTACTTACATATGTGCACTGTTACAGGTTGTTCTGAACACCATGAGTTGAATGTGTGCAACATTCGGCATTATGTACATAGAAGATGGTTATGAAGCAGCCAATATGCCCAGTTGTTTATATTTAAAATGCATGCTATGATATTGGCATATAAACTATACCTGAACCCACTGTTTTAATTTTCTAACCTAATCAAATGAATATGGAGCCAGGATAGCGCAGTCAGTATAGCGACTGGCTATGGGCTGGATGGCCGAAGCATCGGCGTTCGAGTCCTGGTAGGGTCAAGAATTTTCACTTCTCCATTCGTCCAGACAGGCTCTGGGGTTCACCAAACTCCTGTTCAGTGGGTACCGATGGCTCTTGCCGGGGGTAAAGCAGCCGGTGCGTGAAGCTGATCACTCACCTCCAACTAGTGCCAAGGTCAAGAAAATGTGGATCTATGCATCCATCCCACCATACATCTTCATGGTGTAGTACTTAATTAGTTAAGCCCAGGGACAATGTCACCTTTAATCAAATGAATGTGCTTGTTACCACACTCATAATGAAAATGACCCTCTTTGCAAGATACATGATAGGATCCTCCTCATTTGCAGCTGTGGGAACCAGTCTGACAGTAAACTGTACACTATGTATTACTTATATACAGTATTTTCTCTTCTTCAGTATTGTAAATAACATGGAAGAAGCTAGTCCATAACACTTCCCTGTTTTGCTTTTGAAAAGCTGCCGACTTCACACAAATTTGTTACTTCCAGCTTCACATTTAGGTCTAGGCTCCTCTGTTTTGTTACTGCAATTAAGGTTTTCAAAAGTTGGTAGTTGGTGGCAACCAAAACACAGAGTTTTGATGATGGAAAGTTCTAAAACCTGGGCCTTCTTGGTTCTCTTCTGTGGAACCATTGACCAGCATAGGTCAGTGGATGCCCAGGACTAAGGCAATCCTGTGTGACAAGAATGGAAAGGTACTGAACAGTGCTTCTGTAAACTAGAATTTAGTTAGCCAAGTTACAGTACACAATGTAACAACTGGACTGTAGAGGAAATTCACAGGACATCATATGATGTATGTTTCTTGGTGGTTATAACTTGCAGTAGCTAACGTTCTCTCAGATCCTAGAACGCTAACTTTGTCCTAGACAAGGGTAGGGCAGAGGAGGGTAGATTTGGGAGTTTCATGGACTGCTAGCCATAAATAATGTCAGAATTAAAACTGCAATTATAGTTGTTGCAAGAAGCTTGGGGGGGGGGGAGTGGCTAGTTCGAATTCACTCCTTATATGAAAGTACTGAAGAAAACTCTCGTTTTACACAGTGATTTTCCAAGGATATAACATTAAGTTGGTTCCAAAACTGCTTAAGGATAAATCTGAATGAAGTGACATTTCCCCATGACCTGGATTCAAGTTCATAACAATAGTAACTCCAGAAGATGGCCTTTGTAACCTACCTCTTGCCAGAACCAACAGCAAGACTTCTTTGTCCTTCATAGTAACTCCTATTCATATCAATGCACAGAGTTCCTCCACTTCCTCACAATGTCTACAGCTAACACCTTTGCAGCAGAAGAAACCTCTTCCCTAAATCATGTGAATTTAAATGTTTCTGTTGGAGAACCTAGGCACATGAACTGTCCAAGTTCTTCCTCAAGCTGTAGAACAAAGCATTATCTGCTCAAAGAACTTAGTATGCATTTACTTTAGAATATGGGAGAAGGAGAATGTGCTCTTTGAGATCGGAAGGGTGTAGAATGAAAAGAAGTTGAAGTGATATGGACTTGTGATCTAGTGATGGACAATCTTGACTTTTGAGGCTGCCAGGTTGCTGGCAGCAATTACTAGGAACAGCAGGAGGTGAACTTGTGAAGAAAAAATGTTAGGTCTGCATCTAAACTTAGCACAAAGTGCTATATCCTTCCCTATCCAACTAGATGAACCTTCTTAATTTGATGATGGATTTTTGACATGAGCTGGCAGAATATAATATTCATTCTTTGTGTGTTTTGGATTCATATTATTGTTGCAGCCTCACATGTACCTGCAAGAAGGCTTTCTGTATAAATTATGGTGAGCATATAGTATTAATTATATAAAACTGAGTAAGTGTTTATTGTTTGCTTGTTGTAGAGTTGCTTTAGATTGTCAGATTGCTTTGAGAGATGCTTTAAGCATACTTCTTGTTACATGAAAAAGCAGTCTTCTGGGATGTTGCACCTCATAGATTTGGTGTTAACCGACGTTTCGGAGGGGGTGTTTAGGGAACAGATGAGAGGCTTCCATGACTTGCTGATACAAAACCCCCCCTTTCTGTTCATATTTTCGGGATGGAGTTCAATCTCAATGGCTTCCCTAATGATGCGATCCATATAGTGGGTCTTGGTGGGGAGCATGCAGGTATTCTGAAGCTGAATGCGGTGTCCCAAATCGATGCTGTGTTCAGCTACAGCTGACTTGTTCGGATGTTCGAGATGGATGTGCCACTGATGTTCCTTCAACCTCGTCCACGGAGCGGCCCATCTGCCGACGTTTCGGAGGAACGTATCGCCTCCATCTTCAGGGTAGAAAGAAAAATAAGAAAGTCTGCAAGCAAAGAGACAGAACAGCTGCAAGCGACTAATGTTGGAAATAAACTCAGCTATATGATAGCAGGAAAGGAAGGAACAAGTCTACATGGGAAATCAGTGGAAAGGGAGAGGGGAAGGGTCGGCGGAGAAAGGCAACGTTAATGGGAGAGCATTAACCCTTAAGTTGGGGGTTTGCAGTGTGAGTCGGTCATGGACTGTGTGGCCTTGTGGATATGGCATCATGTCCCGAGGGGAGGGAGGTTTAGGGAACAGATGAGAGGCTTCCATGTCTTGCTGAGACAAAACCCCCCCTCTGTTCATATTTTCGGGATGCAGTTCAATCTCAGTGGCTTCCCTAATGATGCGATCCATATATCATGTGTTGGTGGCGAGGATGGAGGTATTCTGAAGCTGAATGCGGTGCCCCAAATTGTTGCTGTGTTCAGCTGCAGCTGACTTGTCCGGATGTTCGAGATGGATGTGCCACTGATGTTCCTTCAGCCTCGTCCATGGAGCGGCCCATCTTCCCAATATAGACCTTGCCGCACTCGCATGGGATACTGTATACACCTGGTGTCCTTAGTCCCAGGCTATCTTTGACTGACCGGAGGAAACTGGA